ATAAAAATAATTTAGTATTTCTTAAAAATAAAATTCAATTCGTATTTTTATTTGTGCATCATAATACAACAAAAATGGGTGTCAATTTTAGGTAAATCTGGCATCCCAGACGCGCTGGCATGGTCTGTTTCGCTGCTGGAAGTCATTTTGACGAATTCATCAATTTGCGTGACAATTTTCTCGTGTCAAAAATATGGTAATATGGTTGTCCTTTCCTACTAAAATTGGTGTTCCGGACGCGCTGGCCCAGTCCATTTTGTCGTCGAAGGTCGTACGGAGAAGTTTGCATTTTCACCCATCATTTAGGCTCAATTGAAGTTCGACCATTGTGCAATTTTGTGAACTTTGTGCATTTGGTGTGTGTATGTGACGATAAAGTCCTGAGGAGGTTTTCTCAAAGCTTGAGATTCTATTGGGAACTTCTCTCTGAGTCTCCACGTAATAGCCCTTAACCGCTCGTCCATAAGACGATGGTTTTGGACCATAAATGTTAGACATCACAGAAAAATAAGGAGTGTCTAGAATTTCTAAAAGGGTGGGCTCCAATGCTGGTTTTCTAAGATAGTCAGTAGGAAACTCCTAGAGCTAGATCCTAAGCTATATGAAGAAGGAAAGACCTCAAAAAAATGAGGTCAACATCATCACACTCATAGATCAAGGTGCCATCGAGGAGGTCAAGGAGGAGTCAGAGGATAGACCAGAAGAAAAGCTTCAACTCCACAGAGATGAGAGAAAAGCCTTAGACATTCGACGAGTTTTGCAATCTGAGCCATTGCGAGACTAATCCTGGTTGGGGAATAGTATTTTTCGCACTAGGTACACCGTCAAGGGCAAGGTTTCATGGATAGTGGAAGCTGTGAAAACGTTGTGTCAACGCATAATGAAAAAGTTGGGATTAGACACAAAAAGCACCCCGATCATATTCTCTTACCTGGCTAAAAAAGAAAAATGAGATACGTGTAGAGCAGCAGTGCCTAATTGATTTTCCATCGGGGATTACCTATAGGAAAAAGTATGGTGTGATGTGATTCTTATAGATGCATGTCACATTCAGTTGGGTAGGCCATAACAGTTCGACCGCAAGACTCAGCACGACAATTTTAATAACACCTATTCCTTCAAGAAGAATGGGAAAAGAATCATTTTGCTACTAGGTAAGAATACGAAAGGTGGGAGCGATATAGAGGCGGCATTAGTTCCTAGGACCACTTTCCTGCAGTCAGTTAGAGATGTCACTGTAGCACTAGCATTAATCTTCCTGGAGGGAATAGAGGAAGAAGAAGTATCAGCACTACTGTGATCACTACTATATGACTTCCAGGATGCTATGACCGATGGTCTGTCAAAAGGTTTGTCGTCACTGATGGACATAAAGCACGTCATAGACCTTTTACCAGGATCGATATTACCAAAACGACCTGCCAACAGATTGAGACTTGCAGTGTACGAGCTACAAAGACAGGTGCAGTATCTCATCACGAGGGCACCAGTCTGTGTGTTGTCCCTGCCCTGATGATGCCAAAGTGATGGCTCGTGGCAAATGTGCATTGACAGTCGGGCCATCAACAAGGTCACCATCAATGATCGATTATATCGTGCTTGGATGATCTCTTAGACCAATTACACGAAGCCACTATCTCCTCCAAAATCAACTTGAGTGGGTATCATAAGATATGGTGAGTCCATGAAACCAGTGGAAGATCGTCTTCAAGACATGGGATGGGCTTTTTGAGTGAATTGTTGCACCTTTTGTCCTGTCAAGCATGCCCAACACTTTTATGAGATTGATGAACCAGGTATTTTGAGCTCACATTGGAATGTTTGTTGTGGTCGAATTTAACGACATTCTGATATACAGACAATTTGAGGAGGATATCTTGCATCACCAAAATGCAATATTCAGGGTGTTGGGAGCCGAGCAACTATATGCCCATCCAAAAAAATATCACTTCATGACAAACCAGGTATGCTTTCTGGATTACATTGAATCTAGTGCAGGCATTCAAATGAATCTCGCAAAGATAGAAGTCATTATCACCCTAGACCGCATCACGGTTGTTCACCGAGCTGAGACACTTTTTAGGGTCAGCATCGTTCTACCGGAGATTCATCATGAACTTCAGCACTATCACCGCCCCTCTGACAAAACTTTTAAAAGGGGAGGAGTTTACTTGGACTACAGCAGCTCGAAACAATTTTGACACACAGAAGAAAAAGGTGCCTCAAGCGCCTATGCTAGTATTACCGAACTTCAACCAACTTTTCGAGGTAGAATGTGATGCATATGGCATGTAGATACGGGCAGTGTTGAGCCAGGAAAAACACCCCATCGCTTTCTCTAGTGAAAAGCTGAAAGATTGCAAGAGGAAGACTCGACTTACGATAAGGAGTTATATGACATTGTGAGAGCCCTGGAGCACTATAATCATTATTTCTAACAAGCAAGTTCACACTGTTTACAGATTACAAAGCCTTAAAATTCCTCAACAGTCAGAGCAAACTAAAAAACCGACATGCTGCCTCAATAGAGTTCTTAGCCTCGTTCCAGTCCGTGCTTAAGCACAAGACGAGCAAAAATAACCACGTAGAAGACGCACTGAGCCTTCAACATCTATTGATTACAAACATATAGGCTCAAGTTGTGGGTTTTTAAGTCGTGGGGGGATTTGTGTGAAGCAGATGAGGACTTCAAGGAAATCAGGAAGCGAGGTTGGGAAAAACTAACAGGACAGTATTATCAATCAGATGGATACTTGTTACATCAGAGTCGATTGTGCATTCCCATGTGTTCACAGAGAGAGGTCATTGTCCAGGAGTGCCACAGTAGAGGATTAGCAAGCCACTTCGACAGGGGCAAGACTCTCGCCCTCATAAGAGAGCATTTCTTTCGGCCCCGACTGACGAGAGATGCGGGGCGACATGTCAAGCAGTGCAGCACTTGCCATCTAGTGAAGACGAGAGGGCAGAACGCGGGATTGTACACCCTACTTTCAGTACCAGAGGCACTGTGGGTGTATTTCAACATGGATTTCGTGGCAGGATTCCCAAGAACCTAGCGAAACGATGACTTCGTGATGATTGTGGTAGACAGATTCTCCAAACAAAGAATTTTTTTGCATTTGTTTTATATAAATTGCTTCCATGAATAGATATAATTTATTGCACTTATAAATACAAGTTTAATTATGATGCAATAATTTATTATGTAATTATTTCTTCAAATAATTTTTCTTAAATATATGGTTTTTTATTATTGGTTTATTTGGGAATTTTAATTTTTGTATCTTAATTTTCTTATTGTACTATTTTTCATTTTTTTCAAATTGATATGGTTGAAAAAATTCTTATTCCACCTTTATCACTATTTATAACTTTCATAAACTTGGTACTCCACTTTGAAATTTTTTTTTTAATTCACCCATATCTTAACTGCTAAGTACTTATTATGACATATAACCTTTAATATATTTCATTTTCTTCATCATTCCATTTAATTTTTAAATCTCAATAGTGTACTAAGTATCTACAATTTTGTAAAATAAGTTGTTTAAGTTATATTGAAATAAATTTATTATTTTAACATATGTATCAAATTGTTGTTTCATTTTTCAATACATTACTATTTTTATAAATTCTATTAACTTGCAATTTGTGCTTGTGCAATTAAACTAGTATATAAAAGATCACCTAAAAAAGTTGGTATTAAAATCCTTAAAGCATACCCAGAAATGATTCTACAGACATAGTACCATGTAGATTGCTCTGTAAAGATGCAAGTAACCATTTAAGATTTTAAGGCAATACATTCAATATCAGCTGGAAAAAGTGAAGTTTCAGCAGTTGTACATCAGGGATGTATAAGGGAGAATGTCAAAGAATGATGACTAACGACATTCTAAAGCTGCATAAAAATTGATGTGTTATCAACAAGACCTATTGATATGCATGCACAAACATTACCGTTAGAAGAGAGGCGACTTAGCTCACGATTCCTCTGATGTCTTGAAAGCAAAAAGGTCTAAATGACAACATTATCATTGTTTGAAGAGGTATTTCTCATAGAAGATAGGAATATATTGTTTTTTCCTTTATCCATCGCATAAGTTAGCCTATTTATATGCCAGAACTAATTTGGAAAACTAATTCATGGATTCCTTCAAGATTTAAGGGTTGTGAAAGCTTTAATAATATTTCTGGGTGTCCTGGGATTATATATCCATAATTTGAGTAATTATACACGATTGCTAATACAAAATAAAATTTCGGCAAACATACACGCCACTCAATTCCTATGAATTTACATATCTAACACCTAAACTTTGCTCTTTTACATATAAACCACCCACCCAAGTTTTTCATAGCACATCAAAATACACATTTTAATGCATAGGGAAAATGGTATGTATGAAAAGAATTAAACTTTAGGTGTTCGTAACATAAATACATGAGAATTGAGAGGTATGCATATAAATTTTCCAAAAAAATTTTGCGTTGCAAGAATATCAAGTCTTGTGGCACTCGTGGGCTCATTTTGTTCTTTCAAATTAAAAAACTTACAACTTCAATCAAACATTGTAGCAATGAAAAAAATAATAAGCCCAACTCTACAACAAGGATAGTAGTCAACTTATCAACTTGTCAACCCAATCATGAGAGCAATCACTAACGAACATGAGACTCGAAAATCACATATCGAGAGAATTAACTGCTAGGCCACGAGTTGGACATGGTGCAAGGGTGACAAGGTGGCAAAACACCTATCTGACAAAGAAACTAAAGCTAATGTCTAACGGCCAACAAACAGTTCATCAAAATTCAAAACCTAGCTCAATTACAATCTGTGAAACAAAACTCAAATCACTTGCCTTCAAAAAAAATGTGTTACTACGAATTATTCGGTATACCATTCAAGCATTTGTGCCCAAGTAATTTCATTGGACATCAATTATAATGAAACACGAGCACCACGGTCCGTAAATAGCAAAATAAACAATACCGACCTCACCGTCAATTTCCTCATCGCTGCATCCTCCTCTATTACGACTAAAGTGGACCGGTTTAATTGCTGCGCAGGCAGCAATCGTCGCGGCTATCACAATAATGGAGCTCTGTAAGACGGGATCCTGGAATGTCACGCGGCGGGGGGAAAGGATCTGAAACCCAAGCTTCCCGCGTAAAACTCGGTATCGGAGGCCAGAGGATCTGAACTGAATGCCACACTCAACGAAATCTCTACGAGACAAGCTTTGGAGGTGGAAACTGGAAGCGGCACTAGACGCTACCAGGCCGTAGGGTTTGGCGGTGAAGAGCGAATCCATGTAAATCGAAGACGGAGAAGGAAGACGGAGTGGAGTGCCAGGCTGTAGGCGTGGAAGTGAAAGGGGGATAAGGCACCGAAGAATTATTCCATTAAGCCGTGAACCTAGTGCCTATCCAATATACCCAGGTGTAAACTCCGACCCCACCTATTCTATCAACCCAGCCCTATCCTAAACCCGAATCCTGAAAATTTTTCCGCCAACATAAAATTATTTCGCGCCTACAAGTTGTTCTATTTGCAGGGTGAGGAAATATTTCACTGGTTTGTTCACAGATCCGCCATAGTTAGGTATTGTTGGAAGTCTCCATGGACGTTGAGATGTTGGAAGTCAAATTCTTCATGAACATAAATGTTGAGATGCCGGAAGTCTCCATGAAAGTTGAGATGTCGTCATTCAGCCTGAACTTTGAAGATCAAGATCAAGTGAGTCTTCGTGTTACTGTTGTGTTATTCTGGTGTTACTCTGGTATTACTCTTGTTTCTTGCCTTTGATTTAGTACCGTTTAGGTGGTAATCTCCATGTAAACGTTGTTGTTGATGTAGTGTTATTGGTTGATGTTCTACAGTGTGGTTTGGTATTATTATGGTTTTTTTACGTTATTATGGTTTTAGACTTCTGTTTTTTTGGTGTTACTCTTGTGTTATTATGGTGTTGATGTGGTATTACTCCATTGTTATGTTTTTTATTGTCTTTAATTTTTGGGTGTTGTTCATTGCGGCATTGTTTTTGGTATTATTATAGTATTTTTTTGTGTTATTATGGTTTTAAGCTTCTGGTTTTTTGGTGTTACTCTTGTGTTATTCTGGTGTTACTCTGGTGTTACTCTGCCTTTGATTTATTACGCATATTGTGTTATTATTGTGTTATGCTAATGTTACCATTGTTTTATGCAGTCCTCTGAGGCAACACACGTTTGCAATGATCCAATTGCAGAGAATTTTCTAAGCAGCATTATCCACAATGAGAAAGAAGCATATGAAAGCTATCGTGCTTATGCACATCACGTGGGATTCACTGTTCGGAAGAACAATACTACCAACTGGCCGAACTCCAAGAAACTCAAGGTTAAAGATTATATTTGTGGAAAAACTGGCTATAAAAAAGAGCCTAACAACACAGTTAAGTTAAGAAAAGCAGACACGAGGACTGACTGTAAGATCATGGTACGATTTCATGTTGATTTCGAAAGCAATTGGACAGTGGCAAAATTCATTGAAAATCATATTCATCCTTTGGCCAAAAGTGGTGATAAGCATCTTCTTCGTTCCAGCAGAAGGATGAGTGAGCTCAATGCAGATCTGTTGAGATCCATGACAGATTCAGAGATCAAAGCAACACATGCATACAATTTCATTGCCACGGAGGTTGGTGGAGTGGAAAATTTGGAATGCACCAAGAGAGATGCATTTAATTTCATCTAAAGAGAAGAAGACAAAAAACTGAACAGGGAGATGTCAATGCTTTAATGTTATTGATGTGGTATTGTTGTGCTATTATTGTGTTACTGATGTGTTACTCGTATTTCATTATCTGGTTTAGGTGCATACTGTGATTTTAACGAACGAATGGACGCCATGGTGACCTTCGCTTGCGCCAGAGGATGAGCTTCGTCGGAGGTTTTCGCCAAGGAAGACTAAGCCCTAAACTCGTAATAGTGCGTAGAAAATGAAGTAGTTCAGAGAAAATGAAAAGGCAGGCGGGTTCTGCAGGCGGGTTCGGGTTTTCGTAGGCGGGTTCGGGTTTTTGCTCGGACCGAGTCGCGAATACGATTTAAAAAAATATTTATTTTAATTTTATTTTCTTTAATAGGTGGGGCCAGAGTTTACACATGGCGGCATTTTATTGGTTACGCAAGTAGCTTAAGGTGCGTAGTACTGAGGGAATATTTCGTCCCTTAGACACCAAGCATGATATGGTTGGGCGTCCATCCCCGAAAAATTCATGCGGTAGATAATTAGAAAAATGACAAGTGACTATTATTATTTCAAACTCTATTATATTACGCTGAACTCGGCTCGAATCCCGCCTAAGTAAAAAAAACACACTTTTGTCATTTTCGCTTCCCGCCAATTGGAAAAAGGTGTATTTTGTCTCTTTTAGGTATAGGGATTCGGAATATTCTCATTTTGTTGTTTTTTTAGGATCCATCCGTATTTGGTGGATCTAGTTCGATGGAAGTATATTTTGACGAGAAAATGTTATTGGAATCTCAAAATACTTGCGAGAAACATGACAATGTGCTGGAATATCAAAATATTTTTTAGAATCATGAGAATGAGCTGAGTTTAGATGCGACAGAAGGAATTCGACAGGTAGGTTATACTTGTTTGACTGCAGATTTAGGTTTTAAGGAATATTTGTTTTGTTAATGAAGTTTGCTTGATTTTTATCTGACATGTAACACTAAGTTTTGGTTAGGGTGGGACGTGGTGTTATTTAGGAGATATCACGGTGATATACTGGTTGTTTTTGGAGTTATTTAACATTTTTTAATGTTCTTCATAGTTTTAGTGGGTTAAATAACTATCATAATGAAGTATTGTTCTCGTCGCCGTGATGGGGTTAATGGGTAGCTATTCTCGTCGTCGAAATGGTGTCAAAGTGTTATAGTATCATTTGCCTGTAATGTTATTGTCGTGGGGATTTGGTGTTATTTTTATAGTATCATAGTGTTATTAAGGTAATATTGGATCTGCTGACTTGGTTTTGTTTTGGTTTATTATGTTGATGTTTAATGGTGTTATGTTTGTGTTATTGTGGTGTTATGCGTGTGTTTTTTGCTTGTAAGGTCTCCTATATGGTGGGGTGGTAATGTGGTGTTATTTTGGTATTATCATGGTGTTATCTTAGTGTTATTTGATCTAATTAGATGTTTTATTGGAGTCTTATATTGACATTCTAATTGTGTTATCAGAGCTTTATTGTGGTTTTATCATGGTGTTATATGTCTATAATAGGATTTTAACGATGATGCTAGTAACATTTCTTAACTGGATTTGATGGGTCTGTTATATTAGCATTGCAATTGTGTTATTTGGGTTATATTATGGTATTATGATGGTGTGATTTATGTATTGTAGCCTTGTATCAATTTCCTTTTGGAGTGCTAATGCTGATGTTTAAATTTGCAGTCACCCAAGGCAGAGAAATTGCTTTATGCAGTTGTCCACAATGAGAATAAGCCTATGAACAGTATTGTGTACATGCACACCATATTGGATTTACTGTGTGAATGGAACATAGTGGTTTCTGGTCGAGTTCAAAGAAGCTTAAGACAAAGGACTTTGTTTGTCGTAAGGCTGATTTTAAGAAAGAACTGAATGACACTATCACGGTGAGGTTCAAAAGAGCGGACATAAGGACTGGTTGTCCATACATGATCCAATATTTCGTTGATTTAGAAGACAAATGGTGGTTAAGAAATTCATAGAAAGTCACAACCATCTGTTGGCAAAGGACGGTGACAAGCATCTATTGCGTTCCAGTAGAAAGATGTGTGACATCAGTGCTAATATCCTCAGATCAACGACAAAATCAGGGATTAGAACCAGTAATGCATTCGGATTCTTCGCTACTGAGGTCGGAGGAGTGGAGAATCTTGATAGCACGAAGAGGGATGCGTATAATTTCATACAAAGAGAGATAAGAGTTCAAATTGAACTAGGGGATGCTAATTCTCTCATACAATTATTCACTACGCGACAAGCGGAGGATCCAATGTTTGCGTGGGACTTCCAAATTGTTGATTCAGGACATTTGGTGAATTTTGTGTGGTGCAATGGGATGTCCATGATTGATTACGACTGCTTTGGGGATGTAATAATATTTTATACAAGTTATAAACTGAATAAATACAATTTATGTTGTGCTCCAATTGTCGGTGTAAATCAACACAGGCAGAATGTTCTCTTTGGTGTTGGTTTTTTGTTAGATAAAATGATTGAATCATTCAAGTGGTTATTCAAAGTCTTTATCTGTATAATGGATAACAAGCATCCAATAACAATAATCACTGACCAGGATCGAGCAATGTCTAAAGCCATTGAAGAGTGTCTTCCGCACACCAGACATAGATTATGTCAATGACATATTTACAAGAAATTATCTTCAAAAGTCCATTGTGACGTGGGTAGCAGAAAAGTCAATGATTTTTTTTATAAATGCTTGAGCAGATGTGACTCAGAAGAAGAGTTCGAAGAAACTTGGGGTGAAATAATCGAGAAAGGAAACCTACATGAGAATGTTTGGTTGGATGAATTGTATAATATCAGGCATAAGTGGTCAACCGCTTTCAATAAAGAAATTTTTGGAATGTGGATCCTATCAACGCAAAGAAGTGAGTCCACTAATAAGATTTGTCATGGTGTCTCCATGGCAACAAGCACCCTCACCGAATGTTTTTTGGGTCTTGAAAATGTCATGAAATCTTGGAGAAGAAATGAAAAGGATGAAGATTTTAAATGTCAGCAGTATGCAATATCTCCCACTGAAAAAAACAGTCCCGTGTTGAGGCAGGTTGCTTTACTTTAAACAAGAATGTTATATTTAATGTTTGAAGCACACTTTCTACATGGTTTGTATGGGTTTGTTGTGGAGTGATCCGCTAATATGGATTCAAAATTTCAAATTCAAACTCTCGATAATAAGGACATAGACAGACCCTGGATTGTTAAATTGGACAGAGGTAATTCTGATATTACCTGTAGTTGTAAAAAATTTGAAATGATGGCTTATTATGTGTTCACGCTCTAAGAGTTCTTCAGCACAAAAATGTAACAAAAATCCCTGATAAATATATATTACTTTGGTGGTCTATTAATGTTAAAAAGGACATATATAATAGTTATTGTTATGCACATCGTAAGGGGTCAGAAATGTTGCCAAATTCTGCAAGTGGACTCATCTATCTCAATCACATTCATAAATTTGCATACCAGATCGACACCAGAACTCGAGGTCATGAACTTGCCGAGAAGCTTGTGTTAGAGGCATTTAATAAACTAATAATCGATGTCAAAGCCATACTGAGTGTACGAGAACCTCAGAAAAATTCAAAATCAAAGAAAAAG